TGAGGACTGGCAGAGGATCTCTGAAGTTGACACTTCAAAGCTCATTTTGCTGTTACTTTGTGTAACATCTATACTTAAGGCAGGCCCTTCCATCCATCAACAGCCCAGGCACCCCAAAAGAATGGTCTGTGCCTTTATGGGGAAGCTGGGACGGTGACTGCAGGGTGTCTGAAGTGTAAACCTGCTATGGCAGGACAAACCCTGTAAGTGATGTGAATGTCACTGTGTTTCCCTCAGGCTATCCCTGTGTGACCTGGCGGGCTCCGAGCGCTGCAAGGACCAGAGAAGCGGGGAGCGAATGAAGGAAGCCAACAACATCAACACCTCCCTGCACACCCTGGGCCGCTGCATCGCCGCCCTCCGCCAGAACCAGCAGGCCAGGTGAGCATCCACACCTCCACAGGGAGGGTGTGGGGTTTGTTTTTTTTTTGCTTTCCCAGCTCACTGCTGTCTCTCCCACAGGACAAAGCAGGCGGTGGTTCCGTTCCGGGACAGCAAACTGACCCGTGTGTTCCAGGCATTCTTCACCGGGCGCGGGCGCTCCTGCATGATTGTCAACATCAACCAGTGTGCTTCCACCTATGATGAGACTCTGTATGTAGCCAAGTTCTCAGCCATTGCCAGCCAGGTGAGTAACACACACCAGGATCGTGGCATGGTCAGGGTAGCTTGGGTTTCTCTTCCTTCTGTGGGACTTGACCTCTTCCCACCACAAGGAGAGGGGGCATGCTTGTACATCATCCTTATGCTTCCCTGGTGGTTATTGCCTCCAGAGTATTTCCAGATTCTACTAAACTGAAATGGCTGACAGGTTGCAGAGAGGGGCTGGCTGTGTTTAAAGACTACACAACTTCCAGGCTTTGCAGATTGATAATGGTGGTCTTTCCCCCTTCAGCTTGTTCAGGCACCTCCCACAAAGGTGGGACTTCCATCCTTAAAATCCATCATCAAAGAACACAGCAGGCGAATCAGCCAGGGTCCAGAGGCAGAGCCAGAGGAAAATGTGGAATCAGAAGAAGACACTGAGGATGAGGCAGATGTCTCTATGTATGAGAGGAAGGTGGGTTGTGATTTGTTTTACAGCCTTTATGTGGTTGCAAGGTCAAGAACATGACTGTTAGCTTTGGCCTGGGGAGCTGGGATTGGAGCTCAGAGAGAGCCAAGAGAGATGACACAGAACCTCAGAAGGATATAGGACCCAGGAAGCTGGGAATCCTTGACAAAAACATTCTGCACTTGGTCTAAATCTGACACTCATGCTGAATTTGAAAACACTTTGTCATCTGTGGCACTAATAGCGCAGGTGCAGACCTGTAATTCCTTCTCTGCGAGGGAATTCTAGAAAACATGCAGAACAGGAATCTAAATGGGGAAAAATAATCAAACTTCCTAGATAAAGCAGGCAGTGGGGATAGCTGAAAGCTCAAGAAGAAATCATATCCCTACGGAGACTCAAGCTGTCGTATGTCAAGGTAGCAAACCCTGGCAACTTTTCTTTCCAAGTGACTAAACCCTTACATCTGGATCACTGCATCCTGCAGCCATGGCATCACTTAGTTTACTCCAGGTCTTAGCTCTGTTGTGCAGGGTGGGCAGCAGAGCTGTGTCCCTCTTGCAGGACCTGCTGCGCGCGGTCGAGGCTGCACGGGAGCTGCTGGTGCAGGAGCGGCAGAAGAAGCTGCAGCTGGAGATGCGCCTGCGCGAGGAGATCTGCAACGAGATGCTGGAGCACATACAACAGAAGGAGCAGTGGTGGAGGTACAGCCTGTGCTGGTCTCCCTGCCTGTGCTCAGGATGAGCTGCAGTACCCAGAACTGCCAGATCCTGACATGGAATTGGTTGTTCTCTTTGTAGCCAGCACGTGGATGCTCAGAGAGAGCAGCTGGAGGAACTGTATGAGGGTAAAATGGCCATCCTGAAGGAGTTACTGACTGACCACTACCAGGAGGAGATGCAGGTTTGTTCAGGGCAATGCAATGACATCAGGAAAGCAGCAGTGGGTTGGGAGGGGACTCTGGGTACTTGATTCCAGGAAGATCTTTAGGCAAAGTGAAAAGAAAGATTTTGCTCTCTGAGGTATTTTTGGTGATATTATTATTTCATCTCTTGATCCACAATTTTTGCTTCTTGTCTCCTACTTTATGTAGCCCACGAGGCTTCCTAATTTTGAACAGTCAATCTGGAAGCTAATGTACAACCATCCTGACTTGTCCATTTGTTCAACACGATTCTCTCCCTCCTTTACTCTTTCCACTAGTGGCTTGATTTGGGTTATTCAGATTCACACAAGTTGTGTGAATTTCTCTTCTTGCTCTCAGTTGTGATGATGGTATGCACCTGTCCATATTTTCATGCCTAAAGCATTTGAGTGACCTCTGGGACTTCTTGCAGAATGCTCTGAAGATGCCAACTCCCAAAACAATCCCTCTTCTTTAGAGCCTGTAAAAATGTGGTTTAGGCTCCCAGGAAGTGGGTTTGCTGTACTTAAAAGTAACCTTAAAGGCTGGGTTCAATGTGTGAAGTGTAGGATTGAGAAATTCTCCAGGAATAAAGACACAGAACGTTTCAGACGAGTTGTGCTACAAAAATCTTGTTGACTTTCTGAACAAACTTCCTTTCTCAGGAGCGTGATGTGGAGATTTCGGAGCTCAAAGCTGCTCTGAAGGAGACCAAACAAAAACTGGAGAGCCTGGATGCCAAGCAAAAGGACTCAGAGCAGAGTGTACGTCGATCCAAGCGAGCGGCCACCTCGTCTGCTCTGCAGCAGGAGCTGGCAGACACCAAAGACAGGCTGGAGCAGTGTCAAAAGGAGTTGAATTCCACAAATGCAGGTACAGCAGCAATGCTGCACTGGTTCTGAACCGTGCTGAGAGATCCCTGTGCAGGGTTAGAGAGACCTCCTTCAGGGTACAGTGGATCTAAACACCCTCAAAACATTATTTGATTTGTAGGTGACAGGAATAATGTGCTGGATGAACAGTTTCACTTCATTTTCACAGGAAAATGGACTTTAGGACAGGATAATCTTTCCATTCAAATTCTTAAGCCCCTTTGTCTAAGTGAATGGGAGAAGCCTGGAATGTTTGTGCCTTTCTGCACAAACTCAAAAGTTCTTTCCAGCTTGCCTGTGGCAGCTTGTCTCAAGGGAAGTCCTGAATTTCAGGAACACTGAAAGCTGATGAATGTCCAGTTGCTCACTACTCTTTGTCTGTTCCTAGAGTTGCACAAGTACCAGAAATTAGTGGAGCCACCTCCCTCTGCCAAACCCATTACTATGGATGTGGACAGGAAGCTGGAGGATGGACAGAAGGTAACTCCAGTTCTGTGTTACAGAAAAGAACATTTGCAGGGCAAAGTGGTTGCCAGCTTAAACAGAGTTTGGGGCTGCTGTTTCCAGGTATTCAAACAAATGAAATGGGTTTGTTGAAATTACTGGAGTTGTTGAAGGTGGTGGTATTTGTGGTCACTACATGGGACCCTCCCTCATTGCTGCATGTCTGAATTACCTTGGAGGGGCTTTGTTTGCAGAGCAGTGCCAAGAACAGCTGTTGCATTAAACCCCTCTCTTCCAGAACGTCAGATTGCTGCGTTCAGAGTTACAAAAGATTGGGGAGTCTCTCCAGTCTGCAGAGCGGGCGTGCTGCCACAGCACAGGGGCAGGGAAGCTGCGAGAAGCCCTGGGCAAGTGTGATGACATCCTGGCCAGACAGGTGATGTGTCTGCTTTGCTGTGGGTTGCATGGGGGAGAGGGGTCTAGTCTGTGTGCTTTGCCATAATCAGAGCAACCAAAGTTCTTGCTACTGCAAATAAAAATTATTTATTTGCTTTGCATGGGGGAGAGGGGTCTAGTCTGTGTGCTTTGCCATAATCAGAGCAACCAAAGTTCTTGCTACTGCTGCAAATAAAAAAATATTTATTTGCTAGTACATATTTTGTGAAGGGAGCTTTATGGCTGATTTTTTGTCAATGGCTGAGTTAGTTGTGTATTTAACTCTCCACGGGAGACCCAAATTGTTCCTGTTCAGTTAACTGCACTTAAAGTAGGAGAATTCAGAGTTCTTATTTCCTTATCCACTCCATCACAGTTGCTATGGCAGCGTATTTGCAGCAGGATGGAGTCAGCTTTGTCCCACCCTTACTGTTCCTCTGTGTTACTGAGCTGCTACACTGTTGACAGTAGAAGCTTTTATGCATGGTCTTATTTAGCAGAAGAGTTAGTGAGTTTTGGCTAAAGGCAGTTTATTCTCCCCAGTTCACAGTAACCAGGGAGTTAAGGCAACTTCTCATTGTACCTGATGGGAGCCTACAAGAAAGCTGGAGAGGGACTTTTTGTAAGAGCAGAGAATGACAAGACAAAGGGGACTAGCTTCACACTGAGGTTTAGATTAGATATTAGGAAAAAAATTCTTTACTCTGAGGAAGCTGAAGCACTGAAAACACATTTCCTAGAAAAGCTGTGGCTGCTCTATCCCTAGAAGTGTTTTAAGGCCAGGTTCAGTGGGGCTTGGAGCAAGTTGGTCCAGTAAAAGCTGTCGCTGTCCACAACAGAGAACAAGAGGACCTTTAAGGTCTGTTCCAACTCAGAATGGGCTTTTCTTTCTATGATTCGATATTTTTATATTTTTTTCTTTAAACGTATCTTGCCTTGCCTTGCTCAGGACCAGACCCTGGCAGAGCTGCAGAACAACATGATGCTGGTGAAGCTGGACCTGCGCAAGAAGGCAGCCTGCATTGCTGAGCAGTACCACACGGTGCAGAGGCTGCAGGCGCCGCCAACGTCCGCCCTCAAGAAACGCTTCTGTGCCAACAGGGAAAACCTGCAGCCCAACCAGCCCCCTGGCAAAAAGCCCTTCCTGCACAACATCCTGACACGTTCAGCCACCCGTCCTGCGGCTCCCAGAGGCTGGCAACTTCGTTCAGTTGCTCTATGACTTTTCAAAAGGAGGTCCCTGCCCCGCTATTACTGGAAGAGGTGGCAAATCCAATATAATAGCATCTGGTTTTCATTGTGCGCTTCTTTATTGTTATTGTAGCTGCTTGAGACTTATGTAAACATCTCTGGATATGTATGTTTAAACTTTCAAGCAATACCAAAGTGGACAAAGTGACCTTAGGCAATTTAAACACTATACTGAGGAAAGTCTTTAACTGTAAAATAATGCAGATGATCAAACCTGTTTAACAAAAGGACAAGATAAAGGTGTGTTCTTGTCTATCTTGGCACACAATTCAAAAAATAAGTTCATAAGTTTCTCCTTGAAAGATACTTTGCCTTCCTTGAATTATAATCCTTTATTGAAGTATACACGTTCTAGGCCAGGGCTGTCTGCTCGGATCTTGGCTTGCAAATCTGCCTCCAAGTGTGACACCGACATGGAACTGAGCAAAAGAAACAGTGAAGGGGTTACACCAAACAAGCACCAGAAGGGAAAATGAGATGGACAATGCATCTGCTGAACTTGCTACATTGTCAAAAGAGTTTTCAGATCTTTTTAAATATCTTATCCAGGAAGCAGGCTCAAAGACCAGGGCACCTGAATCCCGCTCCAAGGGCAGTGGGATATCTCTGGAGTCAGGAAATGGCTGTTGCTATTACCATGAGGATAAGGATCCGCTTCGTTGCTCAGGTTGTTGCTGGCAATAGAAACTTACCTTTCTAAAAGGGTTTTTATTAAATAGAAAGTATTTGCCTATTTAACTTACTATGTGATTTTATTCAGTTGAATACAAGGTTTGTTTTTATGAGAGCTGGTTCACAGTAAAGTGAATTAAGCTGCCAGGTCATTTGAACAGCTGCAATTTCCTGAACACAGTTCAAGGTCTAATCTTCCTCTGAAGTGGAGAGCCCTGGCTGAAATCAAGAACTGCAGCATGTGTGCTGGTTTGGTTTGTCAAGTCATCTCCAGGTAGCCTAGTGACACTTGTTTACCACAGTTCTCTGTCCTAGGCCAAGCAGGGAGACAGATGGTGTCAGCTTTGTTGTACTCAAACAACACTGAGAATTGGCTATTGTTTTCTGGAAGTCAAAAGCTGCCTTAGTTGTTCAGCATTTTAATGGACTCAGCTCAAGCTTGGGTTGTTTAGGGTACAGCTGGCAGCTTGTTGAGTTTAGACAACCACTATTAAAATGAGATGGACAGCTGAATTTAAGGTTCTGTCCATACTACACACCAAATTGAGTGAAGTTTAAATAACTCATTCAGATTTCATAAGGATTTCAGCTATAATGAATATTGTTTCTAAGACTGCTTTCAGTACTGAGCTACTTCTGTATTGATGAAAATGTCTGGAAAAATATTAATCAAATAACAAATGAGCACAGATATTCCAGTGCTGTTCTGTATAAATACAAGAGTTTCCAGCTGAAAATAAAATGGGCTCTGGCTGTATTTAGTGCATCCATAACCTTACTGGATATGAATATATTGTACAGAACTCATCTTGAGCTGCTGGGGTTTGTAAACAGCTATTATATATTACTGATGAATAACATAGTTACTACTTTTCTGTATATTCTCTTGTTTATCACCTTTGTTATATGGCAATTAAAAATGTGCTTGAGCAGGCAGTGACCCTGTGTTTGTGTCTGTGTGCAGCACCATGGCTGGATCTGGAATGACACTGAAGTGAGAATAATTCACAGCAGTACCCACCTTTTCTGAGGAAACAGTGCACAACACAGGGGAGTTGCAAACACGAGACTAGAGGAGACAAAACCAGGTTTACAATATTTAGGGTGCTAAAACAGAACTCAAAAATCTTATGCATGATTTAAGTAAAAAGCTTTCTTGTTTTCTGTACACAGAGAGGTAAAGTTCCACAAAGTGCTATGCAACTTCTATTTCTCACTGTGTTGTACCTTATGAAATCATCACCTACAAATAGCACTAAATGTTTCAATACAACATTGCCAAATTTGTCTAAATTTACCAGTTGATGCCCCTACAGTGTTTTACCTTTGTGTGCCTGACAACAGAAAATGCCAGAACACACCAAATTAAACCCTATTAATCAAATATTTTCAGAATTATCAGCCTCCAGGATGAGATTCCACTGACTGTTTAGAGGTAGCAGCCAAAGCATCTTTTCTAATCAAGCTGCCACATTCCTTTTTTTGCCACTCCCTTTCTCCCTCCCTCTGCTTTTCTTGGCAGCTTCTTCCCTGCTAACGGCTCTTTAGTTTTTAACATGATATTTTATCAGTTACAGAGATGGAAATAACTGCTGTGCCCTCAGTAACTCTCAACCTTTTTTCCTTAAAAAAAAAAAACAAAAACCAAATACTGCTGCATTCTCAAAACCCCTACAATTATCTCTTAAGATAGCAGACCCAACCCAAAGAAACCACTTACCAGATTCCAACTAATCCAACCTGAATGGGAGCGCTCATCCAAGGAAATTTCTGTTGAAAATAAAACCACACACGATGAGTGTGAAACATTTTCTTCCTGCTTCCCACCTTCCTGGAAATCTTTTAAGAGACAGATTGCACCTAAAAGACTCTGAGATGTGAAGGCAAAACCCTGACCAGCGTGGCTTCATGCTGAGCTCCACTCTGAGAGCCAAATCCCTTTGGAGAGCAGCAAGGAAATTCCCAGGGGATCAATGTACACAGTGATCCTGAGGAAGTGTCAGAAACTCCAATGGTGAGTGGCTGTTTGACTCAGGAGCTGCTCCTGGGCCTTTGCTTTGACTCTCACAAGCCCACAGTAGCAACAGAGATGAAATTTAGAAGTTTCCAAGTGGTGCTGCCACATCTCTGCAGGGCACAAGGAATTTTGCCCAAGCATTCCAAGGAAGAGCTCAGTCTGGTTACAGCTCCTTCCCTTTGGTGGCATCAAATGGTTTTAACCTGCAACTAGAGCCACCAGCCATAAATAAAGGAGATGTAAATCTGCCTCTCTTAGCCCTTTCTCCTGTCATATGACATCCCCTAATGTGCAGGAATTTGTCCCTGTAGCAACACTTCAGTTCTGCAGAGTTCACCTTTTATTGAAGGAAGGAAGGGTTTAAGGACTGGGAAAACAAAGCTGAAAAAGCAACACATAACCCACATGCCTCATTAATTCTATAATTTTTGCAGAACTTGAATATATGCCAAGAATTTTATTTTTTGCAGGCTTTCAAAATTATTTATGAATCCACTTTCATTGGTAGAATTTCAGTGGAAATTCATTACTAATGAAGTAAACCCAGAGCTGTTCAGTGGACACTGCTACCTCTTGCTCCACTAAGAGCAGAACACAGCTGCCATAAAGACACAAAGCAAATTTTAAAACAAAATAGCTCATGAGGTAAAAATCACTTGATACAGTTGAGGAGGTTTTCAGTAAAGATGGTGTTTCTGCAAGGAGAACTTCTCAAGATATAGAAGTTGGAGGGGAAGATGGTGAACAAAAGCTGGGCACTGTTTGAGAGTAGAAATGGACAAAGGAAACGTAGAAAGGTCAGGAGGACAAAGCTCAGGGCTGAGGGAGGTCACAGCAGTGTCTGAGGCAGGGAAAACGAGTCTGTGTGGAGCAAAATTTCTCCAGAGCCTGAGGGAGAAGAAACAAAGTAGAAAACTGCTTCTCTTTTCTTTGTTTTTTTTTTTTTTTTTTTTTTTTTTCCTGGAGTCAATCTGTAACGCAGAAATGAGTGCAGGAAGAACTGGGCAATTCAGCAATAACCTGCAACAAGAGATAACAAATGGGAGCAGACAGCAACAGCAAGAAGAGCGAAGAAACACAGAAATGAGTGCAGGAAGAACTGGGCAATTCAGCAATAACCTGCAACAAGAGATAACAAATGGGAGCAGACAGCAACAGCAAGAGTGAAGAGTGCAGCAGAGCTCTGCTGTTCTAGCATTCCCTAAACACCTCCATCTGACCCTCAGCTGAGATAAATTCACCCCAAATTTTCATTTTATGCCCTGGGAGAGCCATGCCAAGAGGTGGTGAACACAAGCCAAACCCTGCACTGTCTCTGAGAAGGGAGGGAGGGGGATGCTGTGCATGGCAGGGGAGTGTGGCACCCAAGGGATGTAATAGAAAAGCTCCAAATACAATTTTAGAAGTGAAAAGGCTGTTGGAAGGTGCCCTGAGAGGAATAAATGGTTTATGCCTTTGTCACAGTTAGTCACTGATCTGACAGAGGTGTCTAATACAGACTCCATAAAGAACATGGAGTTTATGTGCTGGAACATTTTTTGCCAACTTGATCTGAATTCCAGCCTTTATTTTTCAAGAATGTTACCAGGCTGCACTAATACAGAAAGATGGTGAGGAAAAAGTAACACTGGGAGGTCAGAATTAAGAACTGGAGTTGCCCAGGGAACAACGTCAAACAATAAAATTCAAATGCAGGCTGCACACCCCCACAAAGAGACAAAATGGAGAAACTACAAGAGAAAGAGCAGAAGAATTCAGTGTGTTAGAGAACTATCATTTAACTCAGGAAGAAGGCAGTTCCCAATGAATTAGGATTTAATTTCCAGATGTCTTTATGACATTTTAGTGGTTAGTGCAAACAGAGAAAATGGAGAAATGATAATTAAGCAAACAAAAGCCATAAGGAGAATCAGCTTTTCTCTAACTGCCTCCTTTCTTTGTTGAATACAAAAATCTGTCAGCTTTCTCAGGCCAGCTATGTCTGTTTTCAAAAAAAAAAAAAAAGAATTGACAGTGAAATTAGGAATGTGTGGAGGACTTTAGGGCATAAGACATTCAAGAACAATGCTTGAAGGAAAAGCTCTCTGTTCTGGTTTTGTAACCATTTTGAATACAGATTTTAGCTGCAGATTAAAAGATCCCAAGGAGCTTGTTTCAAGGATGTATGAGGAAACTTCTAGAATCAACGTGGATGTTAATACAATTTGCAGAACAGAAGAGAAACTGTAGCTAAAGCTGTGCAAGAATAGTAATAGAAACTAAAACTTTAGTGTTGATTGGAATTTTCATAAGTTTATATGGAAAAAAACAATTTATTTCTTTAGGAGAAAAGTTACCTGTAAGTAAAACCTATAAACCCTGTGCCTCAGGGCAAGGCTGTTTATGGATTCTCCTGCTGCAGCAGGTAAAATAACCTGGTTCTGCACAGAGCTGGTCAGGAGTATGGCCATAGGGGTAATGAAAATAGACATTATGCAGCCTAATCAATTACTGCTATGCTGCATAATTACACAAACAGGCCCCAAAGCTGCTGCTGAAACCAATGGCAAAAATAAAAACTTCTACAGATAAAAATACTTCAAGGCAACTTCTTTTTGAAGCAGTAAATACGTGCTTGTGTTCCAAGAACATTCTTGAGGCATCTTCTAGCAGTAACTTCTGGGAATGTTGTAAATTCACACCAGTCTTGGTGCAAAACCCTGTGGGAACGTGGGGGATGAGCTGGGCTACATGACCTACATCTTATCCCAAATATCAGAGGATGACAGGCTGCTCTGAGACCAGCATCCCAGGAGCATTTCCTTCTCTCTGTCTTACTGCAGACCAGCTTTCTAATTTCTTTTATCATTTCACAACCATTTTTCTATTTTTTGGCCTTGTGTGTTGCTTAAGAGGCTTTGGCAAGCAGTCAGGAATTATTTCCAAGAGTGGTGGAGAAGCAGAGGCCAAGGGTAGTGAGTTAATAAAGCAGTGTGGGGATGGTGGTGGAGTGCTGCCATGGGATGGTGCTTCTCAAACTTCATGAGGACATGCAGAAGCTGCTTGTTAAAAATGCAGCTCATTCCTTGATGGGTTTAATACTAATCTCTACCAGGTGTTACCACTGGCTACCTGCAGAGCAGTGCTTCACCTGGCTTCAGTCTCTGAGGCTGAGGGAGAGGACAGGATGGTACCAGAGACCACTGAGTAGGCACTGCAGAAATCACTCATTTTGGCTGATCTGAAAAATTCACAACACCCTTATGTTGATTACACCACACAAAAACAACAGGTATTTGTCTCCAGACCCTGAGGATTGCTGCAATTTCTTCACAAATGTCATGGATTTGTCAGCTGAGGCAATGGCTTTGTGACATCTCACATGTCAAACACATACAAAATAATTTTTTCCCTATTTTTTTTTTAACAAGGGTTAATTCTCCAGGCAATACATTCTCAAGAACATCACAGTATCACAAGTTGTGGTGTGTTTGGATACCCTGCAGGCTCACTTCTTCCAGGAGATAAAAGCAGCACACACTGATTTTTACCCTGAAACTCAAATGCCACATTTCCTGTTTTTACACCGTGAGCAAAAGTGTTTTCTGTTAACAAGTGGGAGGGAAGCAAAGCACTTTAGGGAAAAAGAAGTTTTAAGATTGGAAGACAATCACAGAATGGTTTGGGTTGGAAGGGACTTTTAAGATCATCCAGTTCCACTCCCTTCACTATCCCAGGTTGTTCCAAACCCTTTCCAACCTGGCCTTGGACACTTCCAGGGATGGGGCAGCCCCAGCTACCCTAGGCAATCTGTTCCTGCCTTATTAATACAGAAACACTTTCACATGGGGTGTGTAACTGGGTAATTTCACTCTGCACAAGAGACATAAAGGGAGAAACAGCCAGAGATAAAATTTAAACACTTTAGAAAACTTTATCTTAGACAAACAAAACCATTCCAAACAGAATCTTCCCCTGCTTGTCCTCTTTGTCCCCACACAAACTTTTCCAAGGCAGGGTCTGGTTTTTTTCCTAATTTTTTCTAACAGGAAGGAGACAGATTTGCTTAACCTTATTGGGTGGGTCTCACAAGCAGAGGCCTTGCCTGGAGCTACCAAGTAATTAAGTAAGTGATATCAGCAGTGAGGATGAAACTCCCTTTACAGATACAGAATTAAAGGGTTCCTCACCTGAATATTATTTCCCTTGTGTTAGACAACCCTATAACTAATTCCATTATTGTTCTTTTCCCTCTCATGCACACACAGTGCAGAATGTTGATGCAGGTAATGGATTTACCAACACCAGGGGGTTCACTTCACACTACATGAGCACAAAAAGAATAAAGGAAATAAGTAATCTTGGATAAAGAATGCCCATTCTATGCCTGCCCTGCACTTTACACCCAGTAAATTTTAAAGGATCATTTTCATGAGAGATTTTTACCATCATTTTTGTTTGCAAACTCACATTGCTACTACAGCAGGTAAGTAAAGTCACCTTATTCCTATCTTGAGAAAACCAGCATCATTAATTTTTTTCTCCCAATAAATTTTATTCCAAGTCTCAGTACAAAGAAGGTTATTTCACAGGAGGAAATGTGCATTCCAAGAACAATTATAAAAGTAACAAGGATATTCCTATTTTCTCAATGTTACCTTGCAATGTGGCAAAAGAACCAAGTTATCTCTAAGAAAGGCAGAAGGAAAGAGACAGCTGTAAAGCAAGTTCTGCAGGGATGTCCTCCCACAGTGTTTGGGAGGCAAATATGAAGATTCAGGAAGTATTTAAAATTCATTAAAATATTAACTTAGGATATGAAATACATAGAGATAGATTATCTAAGACTAACCTTTAAAAAGGCTTTCTTTTCCAGGGTGTTCATTATGAATGGAGGAATTGCTGCAAATAAGATAAAAAAAGGCATTAACCTTGGAGAGAATGGCACTTTGTTTTCATTTTCTGCTTAGCTGAACTAATACCATAATACAATTTTCACAGCCTTTTGTCATTCACTGAGTTTTCATTTCACATTACTAGTTGGATTGGTATTTACAAAGGTGAATTCTCCCAATAAGCAAACTCTGCAATTTCACAAGTAACTAAACCTGAGCTCAGTCATTTGGCACTGGCAGAGCACCTAAACCAACTCCAAGCAAGTGGAATTTGCTCCCATTCCTTTGCTATCAGCATCTTTTCTGCAGAAGCATCCCAGGAGCTTTCCTGCTGCAGTTCACACTGAGAATGTTTCCACATTTCCCTGGGGAAGTTCTTAACAGACAGACAAATACTGCCTAGGGAACTGAAAGGTAATTTGAACCCTGAGGAAAATCACTTGGATAGAACAGAATCTCCTTCTCACAGCAGGAACTGATAATCAGGACTGCAAGGACTTATCCTTACCCATGCCAGGGGAAGCCATCAGAATCCTGGATACCACCACCTGGGCAATTGCCTGCTGAGCTGCTTTGGATGAATCACCCAGCCTTTTTCCATCCTCATCCGTGACTGGAATTCCAAACTGGAGCTCCCTGTTGAATAAGGGGTAAAAAAATAAAGCAGTGATGGATATGAACTTATTTTTTTGCCATTTTTGTCACCTATCTTTGTCCCTTCAAATTGTCAACTGTAAGAAGTATGTGTTTTATTTTATTTTCTAAGTGAGTCTCTTTGTAACACTCCTTGGCACAAAAAAAAAAAAAATTCAAAAGGCAGAGAAAGATATTTTGAGGAGTTACCAACTCAATATTTGTAACAGCAATCTGCTGCTTGAGTCTGATCACAGCATTCCAAAGTGGAAAAAAAGAGATATGATTTTTCTATGCTTCACAGAAGGGAGAGGTCCATTTACACATTAATTCAGAAATGTGGAATTTTCTGGACTGCTCTGGAAGTGAAGCCTGTCCTATCTGACAGCTCATGGAACACAGGAAGATTATTTTCACTGAGTTGAAACAGAAGGCTCTTTGAAAATTCCCCAGCCTGGCATTCTAGTCTGAGCTGTCATTTCAACCATGAAGAATATACTTGAAAGTGTAAAAGGAGGCACAAACCAACCTATGTTTCTGTAACTGCATTATTCTCTATTAGATCTTTTGCTCAAGTGCAGGGTCAGGTGGTAAACTCACACTGGGAGAAGCACAGACAACAGCAACTATCCTCAGGACTGCCTTTATTCTCTTCAGATTTTACAAAAGATGAACACTACCACAGATCAACTTCCATTGTAAATACAAAGTCTAAATATTCCCTTTTCTGCCCATAACCTTGTGTTTATAATAGGATGCTTTAAATTTGCTTTTCCCTACTACTATTCTTATTCCTAGTCAAATCACAACACAGAAAAAAAGTTTGTTTCTGACAAACTGCATATTTTTGTCACCTCGATGATTAAACAGAACTGCAGAGCCTGACTTCTATGACTAAGTTCTGCAGGTGGGATTTCAAGCATCATTTTTGAAATTACTGTTTTTCCCAAGTGTAGCTGCTATTCAAAGGTCCATGTGATCAAAGTTTTGAAGGAACCAGTAATTGGTTTCTGAGATCCAAGACTGAAGAACTCTTTGGGTATTTATCTGAAGAGAATTATTATGTTCTGTTTTATAGCTGTTAAAAACAACCAGTCAAAACCTCACGCATGAGGTTCCTGCAAGGTACTGAAACAAGCTAAAGATACAAAATGTGCTTTATTTAGTAACCTGCTGATCTACCAAGTGAACAACATATTTTCTTCCAGCATGAGTGATCTTTGTTCTTTTTCCTACCTTTGTCTCATTAGTGGAATATTGATGCAGTTGGCAGAAGCAACAGCAGCAAAAGGAACAAACCTCCCGACAAGAGGCGAGACGCGCTGGAAAACACACGGAGAGGGGAGAAAAAAGGAAAATAAAAATGTACATCATCATTGTCTTCATTGAAATGCTTCAGCTCCTAATGACAGACCAGACTTATTTCCTTTACATTAAAATTCAGTGAAAACTCACTGGTGGGGCAGAGGTAGAACAAGCTTCAAACAAGAAATAAGTCATAAATGCCTCTCTCAGGAGTGAGCAGTGGCAGGAGAGTGGCAAAACCATTCTGAACTTTGTAGCATCACAGGGAAGTGTAATTACAACTCCAATTAATTTTCCAAGTGCTATTAGATAACTTGTAAGGTGAAAAAGAAACTGGAAAAAAGGCACCTTATTAGATAGAGTCTCCATGAACCAAACATGGGCTGTTTGACAGATATGCATAAACCCATCTCCACAGGGAAAAAATAAAGTTGGGATCTAAAGAAAGGAGCAGCCATAACAACTCCACAGTGGGAGCTGTGCATGACACAGATACTCCAGAGGAGAAATGAGCTGTGAGCTTCTCACAGGACATGACAGTTTAGCAAGAATAGAAAAAGAACACCAGCAATACCTTTGCTAGTAAATTAAGTCCTAAGGCTGTAGCCACAGCACCTGTGGTGGCAGAAACATAGGCTGTTCCCAGCTGCCTAAAACAGAAATGAAAATGTCTGCACATGCACAGCTACACTGGTGTCACTTTGAAAAACAATTACATTTCACACACATAGTTATGCCCCCCCAGATGTTAAATAGACTTTCTTGTGCTACTGCAACAAGGTGGGGATGGAAGATCTAAATGGGACACTGAATTAAACACTTTGATTTCACTAGCAGTAAAAATCATACTCAAGCCACACTGTAATACTGAATCAGGTTCTGCTGGTTGTGCATGGCTGCCTGTTCAGCATTTTCTCATGTACTTGAATGAACACCTTGAAGGGTTAGTTCTTTATTTAATTTCCTAATTGCTTAACCTAGTAAAATCAGTTTGGATTTCCAAGGCCATGTCTATAACAGCAATTAAAATCAACCATACCAAACCCCACACACACAGACCAGCTGTGCTGTAAAAACTCAAACCCAACCCAACCTGCCCCAAACCACACTTTACATACTTCCCAGCTAGGAGGTGTCTCTATATGCTGGAATCCACAGTTTGCTCCCAGACATCTTTAAGCAAGTCAGCCCCAAAACCAGAAAGTCAAGTACTGTAATTCCAGTTTTCTATTCATAGAATCATAGAATGGTTTGGGAGGATCCATGAAGTTCATTCCATTCCACTCCTGCCATGGGTAGGGACACCTTCCACTATTATCCCAGATTGCTTTAAGCCCCGTCCAGCCTGGCCTTGGACACTTCCAGGGATGGGGCAGCCACAGCTTCCCTGGGTAACTGTGCCCTGCAGGGCCTTGCCACTCTCACAGGGAAGATTTTTTCTGTTTATTTAACCTAAATTTCCCCTCTTTCAGTTTGAGATTTCTTGCTTTCTGCATCTATTTAGTCTCTTATTCAGACATCAAGTAGAAACAAGCACAGACCAATTGAAGGAATCTCTTTTTGTAAAAGCACCCTCAGTGTGGTGTGTGCTGGCACTGAGAAGGTGGCACAGTGACACAACTAAAGGCCCCCACAAAATATCAGCTTAGAAATATCCTGGTAGGACACCAAACTGATGAGGAACCTTGCAAATGGTTGACTGAGCCCTGAAACACAGACTCCTGTTAAATCCTGCTAAATGCTCTTGATCAAGGTGCTCAGGCTTGTCTTTAATGGCAGAAATGGAGTTCTCAGCTCTGCCCTTGTCAGACTTCTCATCTGTGCATATCAAACTAATAATTAGTACAGATGGAAAAACTTATCCCTGTCTCACCTCAAACTTCAATGCCCAACCATGTTCATGCATACCAGGGAGCAATTTCTATTGATCAGAATGATGAGGTTCAGTGCCTGACCTGACAGTGATTGGGGCATCCCCGCTCCTGTTGGTGTAGTTTACTATAGCATTGAAGGACTGGTTGACCCACTGCCAGAATAACACTGCTGGTGTTGTTCTTGAAAAGAGAAACAATTGTAATTATTAAACTCACAGTTGAATTAACAGCACAAGAAAATGACAAATCAAGAAAAGCCACTGCAAACTGTAACCATGCAGAAGTTCTTGCTTATTTGAATGAAACAATACATTCAGTGAGATACTGATACTTGATAGCTAGAATTATTTTAGAAGAAGAATTTAAAAATCACCTAGTTTTGAACATGAATAATAATGCAAAGAAAAGGCAGAGAGCTTCTCTAAGTGTTATAGATAATAACAGAACAAGCAGTTAACAGGAGGCAGTGCTTGGGAATGGGCACCTGCCCTGGGGGCTTGATTCATATTCTTGACTGCAATTCAAAGCACACACATGTTTTATAAACACCATCCAGAACTGGGGTGTGTGTCAGGAGTTTGTACAATCTCAGCATCCAAAAGGCTGCTGCTGTTTCCTCTGAGCTCCCACCAGTTCCTGCATCCTGTGTCAAAAATTGTTTCTGACATGGAGGCTGCTAAGAGAGCACTGGCTCTGCTTCAGTGGGCTTCACTGTCCTGGAGATTCCAGAACCACTGAGGAAATGCAGGGGAGCTGCAGAAACTCCACAACCAATGGCCATGTCTACAACAGTAATTAAAATCAACCATACCAAATGGATTGAAGCATTCCAAGTACTCACGGGGCAGACAGAACATCCTGCATGCCAGTAAGGCTGGAAATTCCCAGGGATCTCCTTCTCTTTGTCCTCCACACAGATGGGATTTTGGAACATTTCCCAGTTTGAGGGAAAGTGGGATGGTGAAGGAGAAGGGCTAAGGGCTTATCTCAAAACTAATTCTAGAAAGAACCGTTAATCAACGTGAGGGAATGAGGAGAGAGAAGAGGAAAAGGAAGCAAAATTTCACATTTAAAAATATTTACAATAAATCTTTTGACAACAACATTGATTTTCACTCTTCTAACTTGCAGGCAAAATGTTTGATGTGTTTTACTGCCACCTCTCACCTGTAAAAGGTCATCATGCAGCCTGTGATAGTCATGTTCATGGGCACCTGGGCAGACATTCGGCCGATCACGAACATCTTCTCCCCAGTGTCAGGGTGAAAGGCTGAATCATAAATGTATTTTGCTCTCCACAGCTCATCTTCTGTCAAGCCAGGTGCCACAATACCTTGTCTTGGGACAGGTTAAGAGACAAGACAACAGCAAAAAGCACAAGTGTTATAAAATGCTGCAAATGCCCGTGAGAAATGTGGCGTCAGAGGATTTGGGGATGTTCAGCCTAAGTGAATGGAGACTCTCAGACAGCTTGTAGAGATTCTTCAGCTTTTAAATGCATTGGTGAAATAAAAAGAATTAAAACTCCCAGCAGTGGTTTATGTTGGCTGAGTTTATTTACTCAAAGCTGCACTAGGTTTTAGAGCTAAATGCAGAGCCAAAATCTCTGAGGTCATTAGTGTGAAACGATGAAAATTCACCTTGAGAGTATTTAAGAAACCAACTGCTCCAAATGTTACACATAAGAGGAAGTTTTAAGCTTTGTTGTCATATTAATTATTTTCAGAATATAACTCTTCTGTATCTCAGAGTCTTTAAGAGGGGCATAACTTCCCCATCCACTAGTAAATTTGATTAAAAATAAAAGGGTTTCAAACTCTGAAGTGGGAATAAGAAGTTGCAATGAATACAATGTTTTAAGTATTTCCTTTTAAATATATCACCACGTACTTATCATGGACTTGGACCTTTTGGGGCCAGTGGTAGAAGCAGTCAATGTCATACCTGTAATCATGCACAATTTTTCTTGCATTTTCCAGTTTGGCATTAGATAACAAAATATTCCTGGGGTCTGTTACAGTGAAGAAGTGATTGGCTCGTCCAATGAAAGTGCTTTGATCCCATCGAGGCTCCTTGATATTAATATTTAATGGGATATCTGGTGCCATCTTCAAAAGCTCTGCCAAGAAAACATCAACATTTGCAATTCAAAATACCACTCATTTCCTAATGTATCTAGAACCTGCAAGATGAAAAGTGGCCACATTTAGAGTAAAAAACCCAGAGAACAAACACCAAAGAATTTGCAGAACAGGGGTTTAAAGAGGTAAGCCCCAAAATGTTTATACATTATTTATTACATTTGTACCAATACCTGAGGATGAGGCAGATGCAAAGGAAGCACAGAAATTTATTAATAAACAGTCACACCAAAGAACAATATATTAATCAGAAAGTGCTTTACTTCAGTGATGAATTATTGTTTGTTGAAAAGAATGTATTGAAAGGAATGAGAAATCAACTATTTCAAAAGATGCCTTAAGTCCTGTAAAGTGCAGTGACAGATGAAATATTTAATAAAATCCAGTTAACCTCTCTGGCATAGTAAAACAAAAGAAAAATTAGGAACACAACCCCACCAATTTATTTTAATAAATGTTGTTTCTCTAAATCCATGTTTTAAGAAAACAGAGATTATATAATGCAACAATTGCTACATTATGAACACATGACCAGAGCTCCTAATGATACCTCAAAGATGGTTAAAGAACTACAGTGAAGGACACTGAAGAGTTGTGCATTTATGGGGCAAGAAGTCCAGAAAAGTAAAAATTACTTCAGGATGACTAAGTTTACTTCAACATCTAATGAAAAAAGGGCAGTCCCTCCATAGCACAAGTATATGGAGTTTAACTTTCTTAAAAGAAATTTCTGCCACATATTCAAGAATCAGTGCGAAAAAAATCCTCCTCCAAATAATGCTTGTTTCAAGTGGCATAAACAAATTGGATCTATATCAATCCATTTTTATATATTTATAACTAAAGATAAAATTTTAGATGATCTTTAAGGTCCCTCCCAACCCAAACCATTTCTATGACACAGAACACTAAAGGATCTGGCACAGCATGATCTTTAAGGTCCCTCCCAACCCAAACCATTCTGTGATTCTATGACACCAGAACACTAAAGGATCTGGCACAGTAGGGGAAACCAATCTTTTCCCCTTTTGCCACTCACATTTCCCTCTCTGTTAAGTTCATTATTGTACAGCACTGTTTATTAGCAGGATTATTTTCATGTGTACATCTCTCAACCAGGCATGCTGCAGGATGAACACAGATCACAGAAATGAAAAAAGACTCAGGGCAGACTTGGAGAACAGATTTCTCATGCACAGCATCTCAACAGGAGATGCTCCTTAGGTCTCTTTTCCTTTTGCAGGATGAACACAGATCACAGAAATGAAAAAAGACTCAGGTCAGATTTGCACAGCATCACAACAGGAGATGCTCCTTAGGTTTCTTTTCCTTTTCTTAGTACTTTGCCATTAAAAACAGCCTCCTGTGAGCAGTGCTGTGTTGTGAATTAATAGTCCATCTTCTGGTCTAAAATGGGAACTGCTGGTTTTGCAAAGCCCTATGAAAGCAAGTGCACTCATTTATTCCAACCCTCTCTTACACCAAAATAAGGATAAATATCAGGACATTAGGGCTGGTAACTTGTTCTGTGACTGCTTCTCTTATTTGCAGGAAAAGTTCAAGTGTAAATGTTTTTCTAATTAAATTATCGTTTCATTAAGAAACATTAAAGCTGCTTTAGGACAGCTTATGATAATCTGGTTAAAGGTGTCTAATGAATGCTGAACAAAGCAGTGAATAAAGCACAGAAGCTTGTTTCTTTCTTTTCATTCTGGATAATTCTTTCTTTTCATTCTGATTAGAATGTACACTACTGGGTTCTCTGGGAATTGCCTTTATTTACTTCTGATACCTCTGCCCACAAACCCAAGTCCCTCAGTAATAAGAAATCTAAGCATTAAGGATCTGCCTTCACTGCAGATGTTCAATTCAGGATTGTCTCAGTCTGAAACAATCAGAAAAGGTGAATGTACAGAACACAGGAGATTAAACATGTTCACATGCTGCCTTTATTCCCTCCCCACTTTATCTACTCTGTGTCTGCTCTGATGTTCCTTAACCCAGGTGAGCTGATGGAATTTACTACCTTGGCAGGAAACTAACACAGCAGAAAGATTGTACTGGAGAGAAATAAACCCCTGCAGCTGCACAGCTGGGGTGACCTGCTGGAGAGCAGCTCTAGAGTCCTGCTGGACAGGGAGCTCTCCATGACCAGCAGAGCGTCCTGGTGACCAAGAATGCCAACAGGATCCTGGGGTGCATTGGGAAGAGCGTTTTCAGCAGGTCAGGGAGTGATCCTGCCTCTCTGCTCAACCCTTTGAGGCACCTCTGGGGTGCTGTGTCCAGCTCTGGATCCTCAGGACATGGAGACTTGGAGCTCCTGGGGCCAGCAGAGGCTGCAGAGCTGAGGAAGGGCCTGGAGCATCTCCATGCCCAGGAAAGGCTGAGGGAGCTGGGGTGCTCAGCCTGGAGAGGAACCCTCAGCCCTGGGTGTCCCTGGGTGTCCCAGAGCAGGGCCAGGCTCTGCCCCAGGGCCCAGCAGTGGCACCACAGGAAGGGGCAGGGACTGAGCCAGGAATTGTCCCTGCACAGGAGGCACAACTGTGCCCTGGGCAGTGCCTGAGCCCTGGAACAGATCTCCCAGATGTTTCCATGCCTTTCCTCCTGCTGTTACCCATCCTAGCCAGACTCAGCTACCAGAGACAGGTCAGCACAGGTTTGGTCTCTCTTGTAAGTCTACAAAACAGGGTTAGTGCTGCTGCAGAAGCAAAAAGCAACCTAGCAGGGAAATGGAAAACATCCATTAATTCATGTGCTACAACAAAAAAATCATGCTTGAAATGTCTGGGTCTGTTTAGAAAGCTGGGAACAGAGAACATGGATTTCACCACTAATAATCTTAATAAAGGACATTCAATCTTGCATAGGATGGGGGGGTGGGACAGCTGCCCACTCTGCAAAAGGGTTAAATCTCCTGTAAAAAGGGGTTTAAATTTTAGGTGACAGCTATTTAATTTAATTTTCTTCTCTTAATGATGTGGCTGACTTGTCCTTTTAGCAGGTAGGAACAATGCTGGTCTAAAGAACTTAAACCAGACATGCCCACAGAGAAAGAGGAGATGTCACACACAAAAGGGAGTGTAAAAAAAAAAAAAAGTTGAGAATAATGTGATTTGGAGACAGGTAAAACTTACAGTGAAGTAAAAAAGGTGGCTGAGTTTGCCAGTCACGGGACTCTGAATCACAGACCTGTTACAACAGTGCCTAAGAGAACCAGGGAATTTCTGTCTTGAAATCTCTGAAGTTTTCCAGCAAAATATTTTTACAACAAAAGCCCTGCTTCTTGTTTTAAAGAGACTGCTACTCATGACTCATCAGACCCCATTAGTAAAAGCTGAAAATGGAAATAAATCCCATAAAGCAAAAACATAAGCTAATAAAGTGCTGATATACTTCAAAGTGATCTCCTTATAAAACAAAACGTCCAACTATAAAGAGTGGTGACTGCACAAAAAAGGTTTAATCAATACATTGTCTAACAGCCATAGTCATCATCATAAATTAGATGGTTTTAAGTTTCATTTTTTTAATTTAAACTGTAAAACTGTAAGAAAGAGGGGCAACACCCTCAATTTAAGTTGCTGCAACACTATTTTTACCTATCTGCCACCTTAATTTTCAGATACAATTTCAGAGGGGAGCTGCTGTTTGCATAATCCATTCAAATACTTAATAATAAAAGCACTGTAATAAAACTACTTAAGATTTAATTATTATTTTAACTGCAATGCTTTGTCAAGGGTGGAACTCCACTACTTTCAGTGATCTAATTTTCCCTCTGTACTAAGTGTGCCCAAGATTTAAGTTCTCATTATCCATAATGAAATTTGGTACAGAAAAAATAAAGGACATTAGGATTAAATAAAATTTAAATAAACCCATATGAACCTTGAGATAAGCTGAAAGCTTGCAAGGGAACTGGAAAGCAAAAGCACAATAAAGACAAAGATAAAACTGTTTGCTTTGTTAGTCAACAAATGAAGGCAAATTACCTAACCATTAATTAATTAATTAAGGTGGCCATATATGTAAATACCTAAATTTATTGCTCCCACCTGCTGCTACGCAGCAAATACCAACTAATCCTGAAATAGGATAAAATTTCAAGCAACAGCACCTTTACTTTTAATGTGGAAGCAGCAAAATTTCCCAGGGAGTTGCTCTTCTCCACACACAAAGCCATAAACAGAGGATGTGGGAAACAAAATGAATTTTACAAACACATCAGTTGTTGTAGTAATCCATACTGAAATGTCACTTTGAGGTAATGTTCACACAGGAGGATCAGCAGTACTGGAGAGGATAAAGAATGACATTGTAACACAGTCAAACAATTAACAACTCTCATGGAAAACACGCAGTAAGGGTGAAAATGATCCACATTTTCACTATTTCACATAACAGAACCATTAGGAAGGTATTTGATAGAACCACTTGTACCTGGAAACTCTGCAGCTGTTTTCCCCAGCAAATCAGATCAGCACTGAAGGCCGGACTATGCTCTCTGGCACATTCCTATCACTAAACCCTCTCAGTTTCCAAACCAGAGCAGCGTATCCAAAGTGCCTGTGGAGCAGAGCAGCTAAATCCTGCCTCGTGTGTGGGATTGTCTGGCTGAGCATCAGCTGTGCTGGACAAACCCCAGGCCCCTGAACAATACCAGGGGGGCATTCTCGTGACCAGGGACATTTTTTTGGCACTGTTTGTCTCCCCAGCACTCACAAAGAGGTTTGATTATCCACGTGTAGCTCCTCCTGTGTACCACGTTTTCAGAGTCATAAGTGATGGTGAGTTCATAAAGGTTTTCCTCAACACATGGCTGTGTTTTCCTCCAGTGAGGAAAAGCTGAGAGAATTGGGAATGCTCAGCCTCACTGTGGACTTCCAGTGACTGAAGGCAGCTCACAGGAAAGATGAAGAGAGACTTTTGACAAGGGAGTGACAGGACAAGGGGGAATGACTTCAAACTGAAATAGGGTAGGCTTAGATTGGATATCAGGAAAAAATCCTTCCCTCTAAGGGTGGTGATGCACCCATGCTGCCCAGAGAAGCTGTGGCAGCCCCTGGATCCCTGGAAGTGTCCAAGGCCAGGTTGGACAGGGCCTGAGGTACCCTGGTTTAGTGGAAGATGTCCCTGCCCATGGCAAATTTCTTGCCATCTCTGATCAAATGGAACCATCTGCCAGTTCATGCTTTAAAGTTTAATAAAGTTAATAAAGGGCTTCAGAATAAGTGAGAGTGGCCTGCCTTAACATAATAATTACATACAAAACTTGCACAAAGTCTGATCAACAATTTTGGTACAAAGGCTACATTTAGATTTTCCACAGAACCAGCAGAAGACTTTAAACCTTGTTTAAAGGTTAACAGCAGCAGTTGCAACAATTATACAAAATGCAGATTCAGGAGTTATCAGGAGTTCAACTCTCTGCTGTTCCTTTACAAAGTTCATCTTTTAAACATCACATTTGAAGGTCACACAACCCTTTTCAAACCAAAGAAACAGTGAGAAGAGTAGCAATGACTATTTATTTCACACAATTTTGAACAACCCGGATACTTGATAACTTATTTTAAACTGTGTTGCATGACTGAATAATCCAGATGGGCAAAAGATCTGGGAAATTCTGGGTAACTTAAACTCAAGCAGCAGTGCACAAATGATGAAATGCAGCTTTACCACCTTCCTTGGAACCATTTATATTTTCTTATGTTATTGACACCTTGTATTTTAACCCAAGCCTTGAAAAACTCCAAAATTAACAATTTTCGTCAGTTTCTTTACAGTTTCAGCTAAAACTGGGACTAGAGAGACAGAAAAGGAAATTTTCTGTCATCTTACATGATGATGTAAGTGTGAACCCAGGGAGAAGTCTAAAGAGAATTTCACATCCAAAAGCAGGGCAGATATAATTGTGATAATGCTCTCTGTGACATTTGACTTCTTGGTGCCCAGCTCCCAACCTGCAACCTGCTACAAAGCACGGGATGAGCTGAGTAATCCGGCTTAAAACAGAATTCCAACCAGCCTGCACAAATGCTGAAAGAAAGGTGTAACTTTTGTGGTGTCCTTTACCAGGACTTAGACCCGTAAGTTCTGGGGAGGTAACAGTGCTCAGGTCAGATAATGATCCACAAAATCTTCTACAGTCAACTAAAAATTCTTTTTTTAAAGAACAAGAGTGAGGCTTTTCCCTGAAAACCCAATAAAAATAGAAGATAAAAGCAGAACCTATGTCTTCACAGAATCCTTTAGGATTCTTTAGAATAAGAATAGTTCAAAAGTTAGAGCCAGGTGCTGCTGGTATTTCATGTGCACTGGGAGAGACAAAAATAAGATTTGAGACACTTAGGCCCCTATATCTCCATACTTTAAAGCAGTCCCTTAACAACCTGATGTCCAGCTGTCAGTGCCTTGTTCTGGGAAATGAGATGCAGCCTGGAAAATCCTGAGGGTGAGAAAATTACCTGCTGCTAGAAAATGGGGAGAACAGCTTCTCTTCTTCCTTCTCTTTGTAAATCAAAGTGCCCACAGCTACTTGTTTTTGCAGAGCTGAGTTCTTCTGAAATATTTCCCATGCCACTTTGATAGAGAAATACTCCAGAGTCCTGCTAGGCCTCTTTATTCCTCAAGTAACACATTGTTCCTTTTTTGGGGCTCATTTGTCTGAACAAACTCAAGATTTTTCTTTTCCAATGCCTAATTTTCCACAATGCCCACCCAAAGGGCTGCTATGTTGGCTTAGTAGAAAAAAACAGGAAATAAACCTCCCTCTGATTAGGAAAAAGTGACTTGTTCTACTTTAAAACTACAAAACATTGGCAAAGCAACAGCAGAAAGGCAAATCCATGTTTTAATTGCTCTGGCAAAGAAAGGAACACAAGGCCTTCTCCAGGGATGTCAGGCATGGCAGTTAATTAGTTCAAATAGGATGAACTAATAGACTTTCTGGGGGAAAAAGCACTTTTGTGTGGTGGCAGAAGAGCCCATGTGAGACTTATCAGGGTCTGTAAGCAGTGGTATTCCTCCATTTGCAGTACATTTGCTGCTACAGTTTTAAATAAGCAGCACAGCTGATGACTGGGAGTCTGATGCAATGTACTTACACCAAATGTTAAAGCCACTTGCCAAGTTTTTCTTTCTCAAAGCACCTTCCACCAGTAAAATGCCTATTTAAATCACCAGGGAGGGAAAAAAAAATTGTCTGCACTATGATTTTTCCTACTGCAATCCTAAATGGAAAGCTGGAGAAGGCAAAGCATGGCAACACTACAAGATGCTTGGTTTTTCTTTTTTTTTGCTTATAAATGTACATCCCACTTGTAGCCTAGCAACAAAAGCAGCAGCCTGGGCGAGATGAGCCTGCTGCTGGGGCTCTCTCCTCAAAACAGGAGCCATCTTTGGTGTGTAACTTGACCAGAGATTTAGAGATTTCATCATTCTGCATTAAAACCAGCTCCAGATGTTTGAGGTCCCTGCAGCCAGCTCAGCTCTGCCAGCTTTGCTTTGCCACCTCCTCTCCCACTGCACGAGGCAGGTCCAGAGACGCCGCACGTGTTCACCTCATCTCCACACTCAGGAAAATAAACCTCCTTTGCTAACCAAGGTTAGTGCAACCTCTAATTTCAGTCCTGACTGCTGCAAGCTTGTTTCTGCTCCTTGTGTTTGAACCCCCACCAATAAACTGCAGTAACTCCAGGTGTGTTCACGGCCCTCTTCTGTACTTTTTCACTGTTTCATGTATTTTTTTATCCAGGTGATATTTTAACTACACATTGGTACAAAGCCAATCTTCACCCCATCCACCAGTATAACAACAATAGATTATTTATAATTCAATACATTAAAAAAATTTAATACTCATGTTTAAAATTCTGTCTCTGCCTACCAGGTGTCTGACCTCGGAGTTATTTGGCGTGTTCCTCCCCTGGAAATGATGATCCTGCAGCAGGGAGGCTTGTCTCTTGCAGGCCTGGAATCTGTGCTGCTGTCACGCAATCCCTGTGACACAGACAGCGCTGCTCAGGGGACAGCGAGTGGCCAAGGGCAGGTTTTGGGAGCTGTTACATGTGCAGGGAGGAGAGGGCTGTGACAGTCCCACACTGCCAGCGTCCAGCTTCCACAGGGACAGGGCGGCACAAGGGGCTGGGACCCTGGGGAGGTGATGGGGGGGCACACAGAGCTAGGCCCCGATGGAGGGGATGGGTTGACACATGGGGCTGGACCTCTGTGGAGGGGACAGGGCGACAAAACAGATCAGGGGCTCTGCAGGGTAATGGAGAGAGCTGGGTCCCTGTGGAGGAGCCTGGGGTGACAGATGGGGCTGGTCCCCTGTGGAGGGGCTGGAGAAGGCAGACCCCTGAGGAGGGAGGAGAGCTCACAAACAGATCAGGGGTAACAGAGGTGACAAATGGGGCTGAGCTTCTGCGGAGGGGCCGAGGCGACACGGAGGGGCTTCTCCCCTGCGAAGGGGACAGAGCAACACGGGCGGCTGGGTTCCTGTGGAGGGGACCGAGGTGGCAGATGGAGCTGGGTCCCTGCCTGGTCAGCACAGTACAGCACTTGGGAGCGCCACCGGCTCCTCCGCCCGTCCCCGGCCGCAGCCCATCCCCGCGGCACTCCCCGGCCCCGCTACTCACCCGGCCGCCGGCCTCGCACCGCGCTGGCCCCGCTGCCCGGAAGAGCCTGGCTCGGCGCCCGCTCCGCCTCGCTCCGCCCCGGCGGGGCCGGGCCGGGCAGGGCCGTGCGGGCCGCGCCCGGGGCCGCCCGCGCCTCCCTCAGCCCGCTGGTCTGGAGGCCTGGCTCGGCTCGGGGTGGATCGCGTTGCTCGCAGAGTTACTGCCGTTAATTATTTAATGGAATATCCCGTGCTGGCGGGGACCTGCTGGGATCGTCGGGGTCCCACTGCTGGCCCCTCACAGCTGCAGCAAGCCCACCGTGTGCCGGGAGCGTTTGCCGAACAAACGTTCCTTGTGAGCTCTCTTGGGCTGCCCTGTGGAACCAACCACCCTCTCCTGGTGGAGAACCTTTTCCTGATTTTCTCCCCTGACACAGCCCCAGCGATTCTCTCGAGTCCTATCACTGTCACAGAGGGCAGAGATCGGTGCTGCCCTTCCCGAGGAAGCTGCAGCCCACGAAATCACAGAATCAAGGACTGTTCTGAGTTGTGAGGGACCCTCGGGGATCATCGAGTCCAGCCCCTAAGTATGACCCCGAATGGCCCATACAGGGACCGTGGTGAGGTCTCCCGTCGATCTCCTCCAGGCTGCACTGGATTGGGATTGTTGTTTCAGGATTATTACCAGAAACCCAAGCCACACTAATTCCCCAAACCTGGTCATAAGGGACAATCGCACCAGAGGGAGGAGATAAAAAGTGCATTAGCAGCCAGATAAGGAATATCCCCATGTCACTGTCACCCTCTGCTCACACACATCCCTCCCTCAGCCGGGCTCCCAGCCCATAACCCTGGTGTGTGGTGTGGGCACTGGGAAGGCAGCAGTTCTCAGGGCAGGACGTGTCTTCATCTCTATTTCAGCAATTCAAAGCTGCTGGCATCCAGAAATGATGCTCTGGATGCAGCTGTGGAGGAGGAAACCAGCACAGGGACAAATGTGGCCTCCCCACTGTCATTTTTCTTCTTCCTGTTATTCCCAGAATGGCTGGGCTGGACAGTAGAAACACTTTGGAATTGTAAACCTTCTGGTTTGTTTTTTTGCTTCCCCTGATGTTCACATCAGTCCTGTGCAACCTGCCCGGAGTCTGCTAATTCCAGGTGTCCCGGCAGGTGACACTGTCCCCGGGCAAGCACAGGGAGAGCACCGTGATGGGAATCTTTGGGATCTGTGGGGCCCCAACCCGGGGCGGTACTGGCTGGGCTGAGCTGACCCGTGCCATGCCGTGCCTGAGCCCAGCTGAGCCAAACCCCATCCCATCCCATCCCACCCCACCCCATCCCATCCCATCCCATCCCATCCCATCCCATCCCATCCCATCCCATCCCCTCGCATCTCATCCCATCCCTGATGCAGGGGGACACGCGTGCAGACACCGTGGTGCCTGTGGCCCCTTACAGCCCACAAACTGAGCTTGCAGCTCTTTTGTGGACCAGAATAACACAGAGATTGGAAATGCCATCTGTAGTCCAGCCCAGTCCCTCTGCTGAAATTCCCATTGTAAGATCACTGCTCTGTCCACGGGTCTCATCCCTGGAGGAGTGGCAGCTGTGCAAGCAGAGCAATCCTACTCTTCAACCCTTTGGATACAGGACCAACCTCCCTCTCCCTGCTCATTGCTTATTCATACTGAATGGGAATTTTACATTAAAAAGCCATTTTATATTAAAAAGCCATGACTCTACCCAGGTATCAAGTGTTTGTGGAGTTGTACTTACTGATGAAAGCTTTGCTGTTAATACTCAACTTCTATGAAATTTTATATATATATATATATATATATATTTGATAAAATAGAATTGTGTAGGCTGGAGTCTGTTTTCAGTTTTTAACTGAAATTCAACTCAGTTCATGATTTTTAATAAAAAATTAAGAGTCAGCCTTCATTCTGACACAGCCACATCCAATCTCAGATGTCTCCTGTTCTATTCCCACTGTGTCTCCACAATTTAAATCTTAGAGATATAAATATGACAATTGTAGCTGCAAATATATCAAGTGAGAGTCCATAATGAAAGAATAAAAATTTGCACTGATATCCTTGCACTGCACAACAAAATTTGTGCATAATTTATATATTTCCCTGCTAATGCCTAATTCTTTTTAATCTTTTCAGTCAGCTCCCAGTCTCCATGACCAGTGACAGATCCAACACTGATACATCTGTGCTGGTATCTGGCCATAACACTTGTTGCTAAAAAACATGGCAATGACTGAGCAGGAAAAGCACCTTGTTCAGGAAATGGAAACAGCTGGATATTGTGCAGAGAAATAAATCAGTTGTTGTTGGGTGTAACTGGGGTTGTTTTGTATGGTTTTCATTCTGAGGACTGATGTGTTCTGCCTGTAATAATTTTCTTGTATGTCAAAGATACCAACTTGTTAATCTGTTTGAAAACCACACGTGGACTTTTCTTCATGTCACAATTGAAATTCTGCTTGCAGAGTATTTAATGTGGATATATGAATACCTAAATTCTTTCTCTGAGTCACTTCATGCAAAGCTGCATGAGTTAATAGCTTGCCCTGTGCTCAGTGCAAATGGTTTTGAGCAGCTACATAACTTATCTTTCACTGGACGAGTCATTTCTCCCATTGCTGAGTAACAGATCTGATATTTTGCCATGAATCCTGAGAAGGCTCAAGATGGCTCTGAGCAATCACCAGCAGTTACTCATGAGCTACAAACTGAAAGGCAAATGGGTGAATATGTGTAGTCACAAGGAATATCTGACCTCTGACTTTATGTCTTTCTTCATCTGTGCTAATTTTCACACTAAAATGTTTTTGTTTCTATTAAAAATGTATGTCTGGATTAATCAAATAAACCCCACTCCAGCTCCTTTTGAAGCATTCCTTGCAGTTGCCTTATTTCCCAAGGGATATATTAATAAATCCTGCAAACTCCCATGTACATTTGTTGAACTAGGGATCAATTTGACCATCTGCATGTTTCCACCTGGAAGAATTCCCAGACTATTGCAGGGCAAATTCTTCCCTACAGTGACCAGAAAATGAGGATTTCTGTTCCTCCACTATTACTGCCTCATCTAAGAAATAAGCTTTACTGTATTTGCTGTCCTGTATTCCTAAGTGAACATTGGTGTATTTTATGTTTTTTCTCCATTTCAAATTAGCCCTGAGAATCAACTCAGTAAATGAAGAGCTGCTGCTCATGCTTTTATGAGCAGAAATGTCCAGTAAGTGGCACTGCAGGACCAGGAATTTCAAACCCCGGGTTGAAAACAGTGCAGTCAGTCAGAGTGAAGGCAAACGTGTGAGATGTCAAGACTTTTCTGCTCCATGAAAAAAGTAGTTGTAGAGCAGGGGGGAATGATGTGATGATGTTCCCAAAGGCACATGCAGGGATCTGGGGTGCTTTCAGCAGCTGGCTCTGGAATATGATGTCAGGAGCTGGCCTTGGCACCAAGCTGGCTGTTATCAGGGGTTTGCCAGAAGAAACCAGCAACATTTCTGGGAATGATTTGTTGGCAAATCATTTGTTAGCAAACCTGGATGGGAGGTGCCTGTGAAGACTCTGTGCTGGGTTTTGCTATCAGCAGCAGAATGCTGGCTGAGGTGAACCATGTATATCCAGCAATTCCTGTGGCTTTCGGACGTGATATACATTAATTTCATGTAGAAGATCCCAAATTCAGACTAGGACATTGGTACAGTCTGAGGGAGTTCAAGGATTGTTTTTGTAAATGAGCCAGCGATTTCTGTGAGTCTGTGTCAGTACATCAAAAACCACCACCCTGTTTTCCCAGTCTCAGCTGATAAGGAATAAACTATTATCTTGGGAAATTTGATCAAACAGGCAAGTAACACAACATTTTTTGGCAATAAAAATTGTAATGGAACTCTTATATAAGCTGATAGAGTGTTACTTACAAAATCACTTAAATGCTTTGGCTCCATCTGCAATATTTGAACTCAGTTCCAGGTTACTCATGCTCTACTGTGCCAAGCTAAATTAATGCATACTCAATTTTCCTCTTTCTCTAGATGCACAGTTATATTAGATAAGAATGGAAGGGAATGAAGATGAAAAGCCAGTCTGCATTTAGAAGGGACATAAAGCTGTGTTTAAAGGGATAAACCAGCCTTTCAAGGGGATTAGGAAGCCATTTCCTCTGTGATGTGGCTATTTTATAAATGTCTTGTGTGGGATCATTGCTGCTATGAAAGATCCATGCCAGCTCTCACAGCTCCTTCAAACAGACCTGACAATTTTTTGTCAGCATCTAGGGACCAGATATTGTTTAATCCTTTTACTTTCATCCCCTGAGCCTTGCCTGTGGCTTTATAAAATAGTTAAAAATATGAGAATGAGGCGTGTCAGCACACCAATGACAAAATCTGTCATATATGACAAAGCAGGACACCAGAGGACAACTGGGCACATCACAACATGCAGCAGCACAACCAGCATGGAAAAACCCTTGACATTGTGCCACAACCTGGTGGATACACCTGAAAGCTGGCAGAAGTGCCTAGAGAGCAGTGAGAGATTCATAGAGGAAGGAAATTCGTGGAAAGGTATGGGAAATGTCTACAAAAACACAGGAAAGTCCTAGAGAGCTACAGGGAACTCATGGAAAAATTATGGGAAATCCTGAGAAAGGAAAATTGAATTCTTAGAAAGCTGTGGGAGAACCCCAGGAAAGCAAAATGGGAGTTCTGAAAAAATTGCCTACAAATTCCCAGGAAGCTGGAGGGAATTTTGTATGATGTGGGGAGGAATTGCTATGAGGCAGTGGAGAAATCCTAGAAGGAAATGCACAGCTCTTAGAAAACTGTGGGAAATTTCTAAAGAGCAGAAGGGAAATTTTGGAAAGCAGAAGGGAATTCCTATAAATGGTACACAATTACTGGAAAGCACCAGGGAACTTTCTACTGACATGGAACTTGTACCTGGAAGGCATCCCTAGTTTTAGGCTCTCCTAAATGGAGAGGGCTCGTTTGATGGACTGAGAAGACTCTGGATGCCTGTCTTGGTGCAGCTGAGCCCTGATG